CTCTCCCCCTCCCCTTCTTTCCAGCGTGACTTGGGGGCCTGCCAGGGGAGAAGTGGAGAAGCCCCCCCTTTACAGGCTGTTTGATTTTCCATGTGTGAATATACTTGAATAGAGCCAGATGGCTTTGATCTGCAACATTTGAATTCGTTGCTGCTGCTTGTGCACAACTGTTGAGGGGAGGGGGTAAAGGGGGGGGGGGCACAGCAGCTCCAACCCGGACTGAGACCGTTGCAGAACAGAGCAGACAGGGGAATTGGGGGAGGGGGGGCTCTGCCTTGACAGAGGGACTCCGGCCCAGCCCCCCCCCAGCCCCCCTCCCCGGCTGAGATGCCAACCCTGAGCTGGCATCAGCCCAAAGGAGATCAGTAAAGCTGCCAATGGGGTTGGGGGGGGGGGTAAATGGGGGGGCACAGCAGCTCCAACCCGGACTGAGACCGTTGCAGAACAGAGCAGACAGGGGAATTGGGGGAGTGGGGGCTCTGCCATGACAGAGGGACTCCGGTCCAGCCCCCCCCCCTCCGGCTGAGATGCCAACTCTGAGCTGGCATCAGCCCAAAGGAGATCAGTAAAGCTGCCAATGGGGTTGGGGGTGGGTGGGAGCAGAGGGCGAAGAAGGCCCCCTTCAGGGTTCTTGGGGGTGCCGCAATTAGGGGGGGAGGAGTCTTATAAGATGCCAACCTTTTACTCCCTCCCTGGTAAATCTGGGCAGTTCCAGTCAGCCTCTCCTGGGGAAAGCGGAGACCAGGCCCCGATTTAACAATTGGGGGGTGGGGGGGCGAGAGGGGTAGGACTTTGGGAGTCCCAGGCGGAAGGTTCTTCCTGTGTCCAGACCCACAAAGCCTCTCCTGCCTTGGCCACGTGGCTCCCCTCCTTCCCCCCCACTTCTCTTGGTGGCCAGGGAGGAGCACCTGGCTGGGCTTCCACCACGCCCCCCCCGTGCCCTCCCTAATGCCCCCCCTCTCTTGTTGCTTCTAGGCCAGCGGGCGGCCTGTACGGCATCGACAGCATGCCCGATCTACGGCAGAAGAAGCCCCTCCCCCTCGTCAGTGACCTGGTGAGAGGAGCCCCCCCCCCCGGGGACCATCTGGGGCGCCCCCTTCCTTTGGGACGCTGGGCGGAGGCTGCTGCGTCTTCCCAAGGGGCAGATGGGGGTGGGGGATGGGACAGAGAGGCCCTCCCACTCCTTACTCTGCAGCAGCAAAGAGAGGGGCCTCCCACCACTGCACCACATGCCCTTCCCTCAACGCATGTTGGGGGGCTAAGGGGGGGCACAGGGATCTCTTTGCTACTCCTGGGTAACTTGGTGGTTTTTTTTGAGTGGGAGAATTTGGAGCCTTCGTTCATAAAAAAGCAGGTTTACTGATCAAAAAAGTTAAAAAAGAAAAAAAATGGGGGGGGGACTATGATCCATCTAGTTGTGGGGTCTTGAGGGTACCCCCCCCCCCCCCC